CTGATAAAAGATTTATAATTAAATAGAAAAACTATTAATAAAAATAAAGGGAAAAGTTACAAGTGGATTTCACTTACATTAGGACTGGTTCCTCCTTATGGGAGTTTAACTGACAACAGACTCAACCATGACTGGCAGCTCCATTTTGGTCATTTTAAAATATTTCAATGACACCCTCCAGCAGTTTAATTATCTTCAGTTTTATGGTGCCATACTATGTTTCTCACACTTTTTAACTTTCCCATTTCTATAGTTTAAATATCAGAAAATTTGTCCACTTTTCCTTATACAGTAAAAAATAGGTTTATTGGAATGTTTTTAATTATAATTGAAGGCAGAAACCTTTAGTTTTTGTTACACCCCTAAGACAAACATGTGAAAACTGTTTACAAAGCAATCATATTATAAAAAGAATGACATCCTTGCAAACACTGGTGGGATGGTTATGGATCTCCTTAACATAATGAATGATTTAGTTCTCTACATAGGCTTTTGGACCCCAAACCTGACCTCCACCTTGATATAATTATGCAAGACCTTATGTCACTAAAATAGTATGAAATACTGTCATTCAGTGTTTGACTATATGCACACAAAATGAACTGGCAGTATCTAGTTTCAAATTAGATCCTTGGAATACAGCAAAGTAGTTACCTTTGTTTTGCTTTGTTTTGTTTTTTTTGAGACAGGGTCTCACTGTGTAGTTGAGACTGACCTGGAATTTACTATGTAGCCCAGGCTGATTTTGAACTCACAGCGATCCTCCTGCTTCAGCCTCCCAAGTGCTGGGATTATAGGCGTGTGCTGACACGCCCCACAAAGTAGTTTCCTTTGCTTTATAAATTATTCAAAATACATTTTGTTGATCTGGGCATAGTGGCACATGCCTGTAATCCTAGCACTCGGGAGGCTGAGGCAGGAGGATTGCTGTGAGTTCAAAAAAAAAAAAACAAACAAATTAAAAAAAATACATTTTGTTGGAATAGAAGAAGATAATTGGACATTCTCAATGCCCCAATTTGAAGTGATATTTGCCTCTTAATTTCTTGAAAAAGAAGTTTTAAATGTTATATACATAGGTTTCATTTAAATTATACAGCAACCAGCCGGGTGTGGGGGCACATGCCTGTAATCCCAGCACTCGGGAGGCTGAGGCAGGAGGATCGCTGTGAGTTCGAGACCAGCCTGGGCTACATAGTGAGTTCCACGTCAGTCTCAACTACATAGTGAGACCCTGTCTCAAAAAACAGAACAAAAAATAAATAAATTATACAGCAACATTTTATTATTATTTTCCCAGATTTTAGGTCTGTCATCAGATCAAGTATGATACTTCTCAACTATAATAATTATGGTCACTAGTTGCATCATCAAATAAGCTTTCTGTATCGCACAGAGGATGGAGAGGATTAAATGACAACCAGGATTCTTTTATCTGAATTGTCCTGTAGTTCACCTTCTCTCTCCCTTTTTTAATTACCTTTGTAATATTTTCTTGCATGACATCAGTAACTTCATCCACCTGATTCTGAACATGCTTAATTTTATCATTTCTAGGTCCAAACTTGGTCCGCTTAGAAAAAAGTTCTCTTCTTCACCTGAACCATCTTCCAAAAGATTTCTTCTGTCACTTTTCACAGAATCAGTGACATCATCATGATTTAGGTGGCTCTTGAACTTGGGGGCATACTTTTTACTCCTGGAGTACTTTTCTAGTTTCCAGGACAGTACAGTAAGTATTCACCACCTCTAAGATGTCTGAATCTGGTATAGTTAGCCATTAGTTTGTTGGTTAATATTATACACTGAAGTTCAGGAGCTCCTGGCACTCTCTCGGCAGCCTTCAGGGCAGGGGTGGCCAGGGGAAGGAGCAGGGAGCCAGGGAAGATGGATGGGTGGGCGGATAGGACAGGGATAGTTGGCACACACTGGTGAGGCTGCTGTACCCTGCTACATATTTTTAAGCTGTCTTTTAATTTAAAAATAAATGGTGACAGAATTTTATATAAAATTGCTGTTTGGGGCACATGCACATTTGCTATTTCTTCACTCCTATAACTTTCTATCTCAAAAATATAAGCAAGAATTCTGTCATCATCAGCAATATTTTTAGCATTCAAAATATTGGCAGGCCTTTATGGAACTTGAAATTTTGCTAAAGATAAATTTTAAATATACAGAATTAGCAGCAGACCGATTGCTTCTACTTTATGCAATGAAAGTCTTTAGAAGATTTTTTTTACCATGCTGGGAAACTTACTGTTCTTCTCAAATCTTTGCTTCATCAGTATTAAAGATAATTTATAGAACAGCTACTGGAGTGTAATTCTTTCACCAATTCAAGTTTTTCTAGATGTCTAATAGATTTGGAAAAGGCAGTTTATCAATAGATATTAAGATAATAGCAATGAAGCAGAGTCCTTAGTGTTAGGGTCAATATAATCTCACAACTGTTTACAAAAGGTGTTGAAAGTGGATAACACTTTTCAGGATTGAAGGAGGTAGACACTAATTTTTAAAATTATCTCTGACAATACTGTATTTACAGGTTTGCTAACTAAAACATATCATATCGACCAGGGATTTAGCTCAGTGGCACCATGCCTGCCTTACAAGTGCAAGGACCTGAGTTTGATCCTCAAAAAAAGACTAAAAATATAAAATTGGCCAATCAGGATTGTTCGGAATTTACTTCAAGTTACCCTCTGTATCAAATTATTTAAACATCATAAACAAAAAAAATTTAAAACAACTCATACAGAAGGAAAATACAAAATAATATATGAATCATTTTTATGTGTAAAAATGGCCTCATTTTAAATATGTAAAGTATTACACAGAGGTTAGCATGTTAAACTATTATTTCTATAGAATAAGTAAAATAAGGTATAATTAAGGGACATTTGAAAAAATTTATCTCTGGAAAAGAGGAAACAGGACATCCTGGAAATTTTAGATGAATCTCATAGCATCATTCTTCAACACATTATAAACAAAGACAAATAGTATAGTTCCCTGGAAGAGCATAATTTTTCCTTTAAAACTAATATAAAAAATCAACCTATGGCAGGTTAGCTTCCTCCATGAAGTAGTGTCAGTCTATGCAAACTGCATTCATATGCATTATTAGTAAGCCTCCATTAGTAAACAAATATTGGAATTTCCTTTCGTATAAAATGTATACACAGTGGCTCTACCTCACTTTAAGGTGACATAGAATCATTTTTTCTCACAAATTAAAGGATGCAGACAATATTTACGATTTATAGATGGATCAAATGTTTCAATTAGCAAAAAAAATTGGGGGGATGTCATTATGGCTTTTATCTAGATGTTCTACAAAATCCTCACGTGGTCAGAGGTGGGGCTTTGCAGAGGTGGCTAGATTTAGGGTGGATAAAACTGGGATTTAGGGCGTGCTTACTAAAAGAGTCCAGGATTGGTTTAGCATAGTCCTACGTGTGGGTAACACCATCCAAAAGGCTGGGATAAAAGGCAGAGGCAGACTTCTGCTTCTGCTACTGCTCTTGCTCTTTGCTGCTGGCCTAGGACTATTTCTCATCCGTGGCGGCCCTCTGCCACGCCACTCTGCCTTGGAGCCAGCCGACTCTCAACTGAATCCTCTACAATAGGTGAGCCAATAAAATTTTTTTTCTCCTTTAACTTTGGATGGTGGATATTTCGTCTCAGCAAGAAGTAACCAAGGCATGTGTACCTTCTACATTCTGGTAGAGGCACTGGGATACAATGAACAAGGCAGAAAAGCTTCCAACTATTTAGCTTTCACTTTTGTATAAGGAAGACTACTACACGTACACAAAGAAATAAATGAATCTTGTAAATATTCATGTTTTAAGCAGGTATCTTAATTTACAGCTGTTAATATTTGAAAGAACAAATTAAATGCTAAATGGCGTGGATGCTTTCCAAACATATATTAAAAAATAAATGAAAGCTGGGCGTGGTGGCTCATGCCTGTAATCCTAGCACTCAGGAGGCTGAGGCAGAAGGATCGTCCTTGAGTTTGAGACCAGCCTGAGATAACACAGGGAGACCCTGTCCCAAAAAGAAATGAGTATAAAGCATAAAGTTACATAGTTATACCAAAATACTATTATTACATGTTGATGAATACCTGGCTATTCATAGAAGTGACAAGCAGAGTCAGGTGTCCTGGTGCACGCCTATAATCCTAAGCACTTGGGAGGCTGAGGCAGGCAGACTGCTTACTACTGGGTTACATGTGAGTTTAAAGCCA